ATGTCGTTGACGAAGGAGTTCATGATGCCCATGGCCTTGGACGAGATGCCCGTGTCAGGGTGCACCTGCTTCAGCACCTTGTACACGTAGATGGAGTAGCTCTCCTTGCGGCTCTTCTTGCGCTTCTTGTCACCCTTTTTCTGCGTCTTGGTGACCGCCTTCTTRGAGCCCTTCTTGGGCGCGGGGGCGGACTTGGCCGGCTCGGGCATGGCTGAACCTCCCTGACTGCTYTGTCACAGCGGATGGCGGATAATGCGATTACTCCCCTATTTATAGAGGCCTTATGCAAATCTCGGGTATCAGAACTCAGCGCTTCCATTGGACAACAGGCATAGTGACGTCACATCTYKCGCGGWGCGCTTTGCTATTGGTGCTTTTTAAACACCAAGCTGGGATTGGTCAATAATCCGAACGCAATCAGCCAATCAGAATGAGCTCTTTCAATGCCAGCGTTCGGTGCCGGAGCTCGGCTGCTGCTGCCCAGCSCGRTCAMCCCSGACCAACAAAATGTAGTTATCGGCATTCCTCCGGGAAAAAAAACAAAAAGAAAATCAAACAACTTGTGAGGGATTCTGCTATGGTTTTTTTTTTTCCCAGAAGGAAAAGCATACCTGCATGTTGTGTGTGCGGGTTTGCGTTTGCAGCAGCTGCAAGACAAATGGAAAAGGGAAAAAGATACAACCAAGAAGGATACAGAGACTCGGGAATCGTGTTTGAAATTAATCGTTTTGGCCCATAGAGCATGGCCTTTTTTCATCAGTTTGAATTATATAGAGGTTCTGATTTAATTCATAACATGAAATTACGGGATTTCTTTTGAGAGAAAATAAATACTGGATGGATGTKCTTAAGTCAAAACCATAACCCTAGAAATTAAACGTGGATTTTATTCTGCACTTTGATTTTATTGTGAACCAGAATATCAAGCTGTTTTCTTGTTAATAAGGCTTCATTACGCAAGAAGAAAACATGGTACTATTTCCTTTTGGAATCCTTAGGACAATTCAAAGTCTGGACTTACCTGGTATCCAAGGAGAACAGTTTCTGCTAAAGGCCTATGCTACCTTTCTGGCACAAGTGAAAAAAAGCTGTCTTCCATTACCAAGCTGGTCTTGCTTCTGTTCTTTTTACATTTCTACCCTGCTGAGTGGAGGGATAGATCCACAGAAATGTCCAGCCTATRTCCAAAATAGMAGTGTCTGAAGGGAAGCAGACAAAAAAAGGGTTCAATGTTTTTCCTCAGTGAGGGAGACTTGCTTGAAAGTGCTTCTGCTGTACTTTTCACCTAAACTGTGGAGGCAAAAGAGTTGAACAGAGCAGTTTAATGCTACCTCACTTGTTCTGTAGCTCTGTTCTAATATCTGCCCTCTCACTGCAGCTCTGCTGCATCCCATGCAGAATGGGGATAAATGTTGCAGATTGAGATTCATTTCTGAACGTTATTTCATTTCAGTGTGTTGTCATTTTCCATGGGCAACACAGAGAAAAGAACTAARAGCTCACATGAAAAGTTAAATAACAACTTGGCCATCAAGACACTTAGCACATAGCATTAGGGAAAATTACAGATCGAGTATTGATGAGTCACATCTGTCAAGTGGTTGTTACTATTTGAAAATTTTTTAAGTCCACAATGAACCGTAGAATCACATTTGAGAAGCTGAGTTGCAAGGCTGCAGGTAGCTACTGTAGATCTTTGAGTTGTTGAGAYGGAAATTTTAAGCATAATTCTCTGATGTGCTCCATACTTTGTCACCCATAGCAGCAAGTTTTCTAGGTTTGTAAATTGTTGAGTGTTGTCATCATCTGAAGACCTTATAACTCATTGGAAAAACATTAAATATATGTGTCACATTTCAACAGCAAAAAAAAGTGCACTTAAAAAAAAACAAGATGAAAGAAAAGAATAAAAAAGGGAAGAAACTCAACCATGCATATTTTAAAAACTCCCAAATATATGAAAAATTGAAACTACTAAAGATGACTAAGATGATGCAACTCATAAAAATGAATGCAGCTGTAGAAGTACAGTAATTTTTTAAAAAATTGTATTGTGTTCAAAAAGCAGTATTAAGTAAAGAAAAAAAAATACAGCCAAAGAAATAATTCAGTAGGTATCAATAAATACTGAGACCATGAAAATAACTGAACACGTGCCACTTTTAAAAGCACATGAAACAGCATAATTTTTTTTCAAGGGTGTAGCAGCAGCAAGAGACATACATCAGCTCCTTCGTCAACAGTTCAGTCCAATAAAGAAAACGAAGCTGAGAGATAATTAAGTCAAGGACATGGGACRTGAAAAAGGATTTCCTCATGGCGAAAATTTAAAGTGTCGCCCTCACAGGAAAAAAAAGAAAAAACCAAACAAAAGGAAGTGTAGCACATTACTCCCCTTTCTCAGCTCTCGGTGGAAAAAAGGTGCAACTACTGTAGTAACAAGACCACGGCGCCCACTCTCTCCCCTGCCCGGCCGGGTCCTTTGTTGGGGCGCAGCGCCATGGCGGCGGCAAAGCGCGGGCGGAACGCGGCTCTACCGGCCCCGCGGCCGCCGTTGGCCGGGTTTTGCTGCAGCCCCGCGGCCAGCGGAGCTCCGCTTTCCGCCCGCAGCGAGAGCCCCGCCGGCGGGGCCGGGCAGCCGTGYCGAGAGCGGTGGGCAGCCCGACCCCACCCGGGATCCGCTCCCGCGGAGCCGGATTTGCCCCCCGGGGGCGGGGCC